TGGATGGTGGGAATGGCTGGATGGTGGGAACGGCTGGATGGTGGGAACGGCTCGATGGTGGGAACGGCTGGATGGTGGGAACGGCTGGATGGTGGGCATGGCTGGATGGTGGGAATGGCTGGATGGTGGGAATGGCTGGATGGTGGGCATGGCTGGATGGTGGGAATGGCTGGATGGTGGGCATGGCTGGATGGTGGGAATGGCTGGATGGTGGGCATGGCTGGATGGTGGGCATGGCTGGATGGTGGGAACGGCTGGATGGTGGGAATGGCTGGATGGTGGGAATGGCTGGATGGTGGGAACGGCTGGATGGTGGGAATGGCTGGATGGTGGGAATGGCTGGATGGTGGGAATGGCTGGATGGTGGGAATGGCTGGTTGGTGGGAATGGCTGGATGGTGGGAACGGCTCGATGGTGGGAATGGCTCGATGGTGGGCATTGCTGCTTTGCCGGCACAAGGCTCTGGCTTCTATATCACGGTCACTGTCGCCACCAGGACAAAAAAGCACCATAATTCCAGCCCTTGGGGGCTGAGGCAGCAGTTTGAGCTAGCCTTAGGTTTAACTAGCTCCTGTCCAGCCTGCGCTATGTAGTGTGACCCTGTCTCATCTTCCTGCATGCTCCTGCCCTCTAAGAAACTACATAAAAGAAGAAAATGCCTAACTATGACTACCTCCCGGAAAGTGCTAACCCCTACCTCCATTTCCCAGCCAGGCCTCGGTCTGAGAAGGTCCCCTCTCTGAGAACACCCAGGCTTTGTTCCTTGCTTTTCCCCTCAAACCTCCAGCCTTGGGATGTCTGCAGACATTCCCTCTGACTCATTCAGTTCACGAAGCTACAAGCAACTGGTCTCCAAGAGACGCCCGAAGAGTCAAGAGGTTTCCAGGGGGGAGGCGGTTGCGGGGGGACACTCACGGAAGCAGAGGAAGAGCGTGTCTACACACATGCCGAAAACGCTGAAGAAGCCACTGGCGATGACGTAGGCCCCCAGGATGGAGGTCTGCAAAAGACAAGACCGACTGGGACCCCTGGGCGCCCCTGGGGACCCGGGTGGGCCAGAGGGCGTCACTCACCATGATGGGCAGCCAGTAATAGTTAAGGTTGGGGTTCTCGAAGTCTCTCCCCAGCCCCTTGATGCGGCCGGAGAAAAAGAAGAAGGACAGGACGCCTGAGGGAGAGAGTCTGGGGTCAGCGCTGTTCTCTAAGGACCCCCTTCCCGCACCCCAGGGGGCACCTGACACCGAGAACCCGGTATCGACCCTTACCGACACCTCCGACCACCAGCAGCTTCCCAAAGAAGAGCAGCAGGTCTGTGACCTTATCCAGGACAACAACCCTGCGTGGAAGCCAGGGCAGACCGGGGTGAGGAGCGGGGGGGGGGGGGGGGGGGGTGAGGACCCGGCGGGGGTGCGGGCCACGAGGCAGCTCTAGCCCCCTCTCAAGGCGCAGAGCAGGGGAGCAAGCATTCGGCCTTTCTGAGCTCTCTGCCCCTGAGGCTGGCGTTGGGATGGGAGAAGTGGGGAGGGGGCCACCGGGGGCACGGCAGGGCAGCCTCACCGGACAATGTTCCTCATGAGCAGCATGAAGGCATTTTTGGCTGAGACACAGAAATTCTTCCCATAGATGGCGATCTAAGGGGAGCAGGGAAGGTCAGAGCCACACTCCAGCGAGCTTGCCCACAGGCTGGCGGAGCCAAGGGTCACAGGGCGGGGGGTTGCTTGGGGCCATGCTCACCATGATGTAGGCATTGCGGTTGAGAAACTTAATAAACTTCTCCAGACACCAGAGGCAGCACTTGAAGCAGCAGAGGATGCAACGGGCCACAGGATTTTGGGCTCCTGCGGACAAAGGAAGCCCACTCGAGGGAGGCCGCTGCCTCCTGCCTGCCGGGCCCTCACCCAGGCTCCCGCTGCCCCGCCTGCCCCCGCCCCCACCGCCCATTCACCTCTCAGCTTGTGGTCGATGTACTCCAGAATGATCCGGGCTATTTGCACAAGGGTCAGGATGAGGGCTCCGAATGCCAGCGAGCCCGTGTGGTAACTGCAGAGGGCAGTGAGGTAAGCTGAGGCACACCGGCAGTGCCCGGTACGCCTAGGGCTGACATCTCCCTAGGGGGCCTCCCATGGCTCACCGGAGGGTGCGGATGAAGGCCGAGCACAAGGGGAAAGTGGGGATGTCTCGAGGCTTGTGAAAGGCCCAGTAGAAGGAGGCGAAGGCCCCAGCAAGGACACACTGGCCCAGGGCCAGGACCCAGTTGACAGTCCAGAAGAGCCCCAGGACCCCGTAGATTTGCAGGTTGAAGAGAGAACGCTGGGCTACGCCCGTGGACGAGTAGCCCTGGAAGACGCACGTGAGCTCTTTGCACGAGGAGTTGTTGGGTGTGGCCTGGGGGTGACAAGGACACAGCAGGTTCACCCCAGGAGCTGCAGGCAGATCCTTGGCCATCCCTGTGGCTAGCGGCCTCCAGACTCAGCGCCTCAGCCCTGCCACGGCGTGACCAACCAGCTTCCTGCTTTCAGACCGGCCCGGAGCTATCCAGAGCGCCTGGGCGAGCCAGTGTGTGGGCGCTTTCAGCACGCTCCCTCTTCCTCTCCCGGCAGCCTCCTGGAGGGGCCTCTCCGGCACCGCCAAGACGCTGTGGGCATTTAATGACACCACAGTGATTCTGTTGTCCGTGACAGTGAAACGGTCAGTGTGTGTGTGTGCATGCGTGTGTATGTGTGTGAGTGTGTGAGCATGTTAGTGTGTGTGTGTGTGTGCGTGTGTATGTATGTGAGTGTGTGAGCATGTGAGTGTGTGTGTGTGTGTGTGTGTGTGTGGTGCATGCGTGTTTACCCACATGGTTTTTTCAGGACGGAACCCCAATCCTCACACAACCTGCAATACCCTCACACCAAGCTGAGGCTCATGTCCGGCTTTTGGACTTCCCCTCCTCCTTCCTCTTCTCCCCTCTCCCCCTGTTCCTGGTGTGGAATCGGGGCTTCTTGAACAGAAGACAGCTCTAGCCGAGTCCTCGGCTCTGCCTTTCTGTCATCTGTTACGGGCTGGGGAAGTGGACCAGTTGGTGGAGGCTCGCCTGGCAAGCCCAAGGCCATCACGTAAGACCCTGCGTAAGGTGCCAGGTGCGGCAGCACACGCCTGTGGTCCCAGCACTCGGGACTCAGGGGCAGCCGGATCTCTGAGTTCAAGGCCAGTCTGGCCTACATAATGAGTTCCAGGAACAGCCAAGGCTACACATAGACAAAAAATGTACATAAAGAAATCATTTTTTTTTTTAAACATGCATGTTTGGGCACACCTGTAATCACAGAACATGGGAGGTAGAGTCAGGAGGATCAGAAGTTCAAGGTCAACCTCTGTCACATAGCAAGTTCTAGGCCAGCCTGAACTGCATGAGACCCTGTCCATAAGTAGATAAACAAACAAACAAATGCTATTTGAGATGCATCTTACCGTACTTACAGGTAAAGTAGCAGAGAGTCAGAATCTGTATTCAAATTACCTGGTGCTACCTTACCCCTATAATCCCAGCACTCAAGGAAGCTGGGGCAGGGGGATCACCATGAATGTGGGCCAGCATGGGCTACAGAGTAAGTTTCAGGCCAGCCTGGAAAGAAAGAAAAAAAAAAAAAAAGGAGAGAAGAGAGAGGGAGACAGAAAGAGGGAGAGAGGAGAGAGAGTGTGCACGAGCGAGCTAAGCCTGCCTCAGTGGATGAACTCACTGGCTGCTCCTGCAAGCGAGCCGGCTCCGTTCCCAGCTCCCACCTGCTGGCTCATACCATCTGCAACTCTACTTCCAGGGGACCCGACGCCCTCTTCTGGCCTCTTTAGACAGCAAGAACCATGTGGAGCACAGACTAGGCCCGACACTCACATGCATCACGGTAAGACAGAGAAATAATAACTCTTAAAAAGGGAGGGGAAATATTTCTTAACTGCCCAGAGGCTCCCCGTGCAGCCCAGAGATGGGAGCTTGTGTAGGACCCTGCAAAACTCCGGAAGTTACAGGCGGGGGCTGGGAGAGAGACTGCGAGTCCCGGGGACGGTCAAGAATGTAGCTCACGGGGCTGGAGGGATGGCTCAGAGGTTAAGAGCACTGGCTGCTCTTCCAAAGGTCCTGAGTTCAATTCCCAGCACCCACATGGTGGCTCACAACCATCTATAATGTGAACTGACTCCCTCTTCTGCAGGTGTAAATACAGATGAAACACTCATACACATAAAATAAATAAATCTAAAAAAAAAAAAAAACAAAACGGAATGTAGCTCACGCCTGAGGCCCTGAGGCCCTGGGCTCAAACACTGCAGAAGCCGAGGAGGGAAAGGAGAAGGGGGTTTTTACAGGAAGCTGAGGCTGTGGGATCTGGGCGAAGGGGCTCACCACCTATGGTCAGTTCCGCTTATGAACAATTTAGAACTAAACAAATCCAGAGAACATGGTTTCTGAGGGAAGAGCCCAGCTTGGAATAAAGCCAGGCATGGGGTGCTGCATGCCTCTAACCGCAGCATGTGGAGGCAGAGACAGGTGGATCTGTGTGAGTCTGAGGCCATATCGAGTAGGCCTGATTCAAGAAAGAAAAAGAAAGGAAAAGAGAGAGAGCACAAAAGCCCCCCTTTCCAGCAGACCACTGTGGGGGTGTGTCAGGATGAGTGAGGACGCAGAACAGTATGTCTTTTACAAACCTAGAGGAGCCTTCTGGTTTCTGTGTGGGGATTCTTTGTTTGTTTGTTTACTTTGTTTTGTTTTTTGAGGCAGGGTTTCTCTGTGTAGCCTTAGCTGTCCTGCTCTATAAGAAGAGTCCAGGACAGCCAGGGCTATAAAGAGAAACCCTGTCTCGGAAAACCAAAAACAACAGAACCAGCCTGTTTCTCCGCTTGCGGCTTTTTGCTCTGTTTCTTCGAGATAGCCCCCCATAGCTCAGGCTGGCCTCAGACTGGCTGTGTAACAGAGCTGGCGCTGAGCTCCTGGTCCTCGGCCTCCGCTTGGGAGGTGGGCAGACAGGGAAAGTACAGACCCCTCCCCCACTCCCCTGCCTTCCCAGTGCCTGTCCCCTGGACTTGGAGAACATAAGACAATGCAGCCCGCTGGGGCCTCCGTCAGCTCGGAGACATTGTGCCCTGCACTGGACCAAGGCCAGAACACTCCTAACCCAGCCACCCAGACTAGCATCGGCAGGGGGAGCAGCCCCGGAGGAGGAAGGAAGTGTTGGACAGCCTGGAGAGAGGTCGGCACGCTGCTCAGCCTCCCACCTTCCCTTCAGCCTCCATCTTACTGTCACAGAACGGGTGACTCAGCTGCAGAGCTAAGGGAGCTCCCATGCGCCCCCTCGGGCCTTCTGCACCAGAGGAAATGCGGGCTACCTGACCCCCGAGGCCCCCTCAGCACCCACCCCAGCCCTTCTCACCAAGGGGTCACAAGACTTGTTCACAGGCGCGTCCTCACAGCCTGGTGTGCTGGTGTTGTACACCCAATAGACGTACTGGGGTTGCCCGGATGTGGCCAGGTACCCAGAGAGGAGTCAAGGAAAGCATGGCGCCAGCTGTCAGCCCCACGACACCCCGAAATGGCTGCCCCCGGGACCCTACACGGGAGGCTGGCATTCAACCCACGCTCTCCCTCGCCCCTCAGTCCCCTCCCACCCCCGCACAGGACCCGCCTGCCCTCCCCCCATCCCCCTGGAGCTCCAGTGGGGGCTGTGTAAAGGATACAGGGCGGTCACGGCCCAGTAGCCAATGCAGATGACCAAGAGGACGAAGGTGACCAGAGGGTAGAACATAGTTGACATCATCTGCCCTACAGCCCTGTGGGAAGAGAGCGGTCCGCCGGGGCCTCAGCCCTGCGCCTCATCTCCCCGTGGACCCCGTCTCCGGCCCGCTTGTTTCCCCAGAGACAGGGCCACAGCGCTCATCTTCCATGCCCTGTTCCAGGCAGGGCACGCAGCAGAGCGAGCACCTCGGCTCCCCGGGGTCTGGTGCCATGTTCTCCGCACTAAGCCAGCACTAATGCATTCAGTCCTCAGAAACGCCCCCGGCAGGTATAGGCTGATGTTTAGAGCGTCTTACCACAGGGAGCCTGGACGTGGTGGCACATACTCTCCCTTCCAGCACCGGGAGGCCGAGGTGGCAGGCTGCCACCAGTTTGAGGGTAGTCTGGGCTAAAAGGCGAGACGCGGCCTCGCAGGAATGGCAGGGGTAGGGGGTGGCACAGGAGCTTGCCTACAGGAGGCCTGAGTTAGAGCCACAGCGCGGTGTAAATGAGGCCTGGTGGTACTCGCCCACCACTGGGGGCAGATGCAGAAGGATGTGTTCAAGGACATCTTCAACACTTTGGTGAGTTTGAGGCCAACCTTTGCTGCCCCGAGACTCTCATGACCGTCTTGTGGGGCAGGGAGACAGGAGTTCAAGGTCAGCCTCACTTACATAGCTGCTTTGCCATTGGTCTGGGCTACAGAGATGGCTCTGCAGTTAAGAGCATGCACGCATGGGCTGCTCTCTCTGCGGGCTTGAGCTCGGTTCCCAGCACCCACATGGTGGCTCACAACTGTGTGTAATTCCAGTTCCAGAGGATTCAGCGCCCTCTCCTGGCCTCCATGGGTATCAGGCCTGTGGTGCAAAACACCCATACATAAAGCAACAGTGAATAAACCTTTTTTGTTTGCTTGTTCGTTTTTTGAGACAGGGCTTTTTGGTGTAGGCTTGGCTGTACTGGACTGGCTCTGTAGACCAGGCTGGCCTCGAACTCACAGAGATCCGCCTGCCTCTGCCTCCCTGAGTGCTGGGATTACAAGTGTTTGCCATGGCGCTCCTGCTCCATAAGTAAATCTTACCCTCTCCCAATGACAACAAAAGAAATCAGACAGGAAAACTGAGGCCCTAAGAGGCTGAACCGACAGGCAGTGGTGGTGCACGCCTTCAGCCTTAGCACTGGACAGGCCCAGAGGCAGGCGGATCTCTGTGAGCTGGAGGCCAGCCTGCTCTAGAGTGCCGAGTTCTACAGAATCCCACCCTGTCTCAAAAACAAGCAAACAAAACCCGCTGCAACGCAGTGTTACCCGCTGGACAGTTCTGCCTTTCTCCTCTGGGGTTCCCGTGACTTGGCCAGCGCCCCTGCCGAAGGCCCCCTCTCCCTCACAGGCAGGCCCTGACCTGCTGGCTTCCTTCAGCAGAGCGATGGCAATTCGGATCCGCTGGCGCAGGAAGATGAGCATGAGCAGCAGGACGCCCTCCAGGATGGCCAGGACAATTACTGCGTGGGGATGGACGGCAGGCGGTGGTCCCTGTCAGGGCCAGGCTCACCCGTCCAGGGCAGCCCTTGGTGGCCCACCGGCTGGAGGGGGCGGGCGGGGGGGGGCACTCACGTGCAGCCAGCCAGGTCTCCTGCACGCTCTGGTAGGCACTGAGGTTGGTGGTGAAGCCCAGGTGGGAGATGGAGGCGCCCTGGTCCCGCAGCACTCGGTACTGTTGGTAGCAGTGGTAGATGCCATAGGCCAGCACGGCGAGCACGCCAACGATGAGGAGCAGCACCAGGGGCGCCGCCACGAAGCGCAGGAGCAGGATAAACAGCAGGCTCAGCACCAGAGCCACACCCAGCGCCCTGCAGGCAAGGGGCGAGCGTGAGGGCCGCCCCCTCACCCCAAGCCCTTCTGGGTTCCCCAGGTTCCTTTCCTTCCGATCTCAAATGTCTCAAGTGTTCATAGATTGGTTTTTGGATACAAACACCCCCACCCTGCCTCAGGGTCGGTTCTCAGCTAGCTCCCGTGGGCTCACAGCCCGGCTCCAGGCTCCACGTGTAGACTTGGGGCAAGAGGGTCCGGGAAGGGCAGACCCGAGGCGGGGAGGGCAGGGGCTGGCTCCTGGGGAAGCCATGGACTCACACGAGGATCCAGTGCCAGGACTGGGCAAAATCTTCAAAGATCTTCACAGAGATGTCCCGGGAATTGATGCTGTCAAGGAGGCCACTGGAGGGGAGGGGCGGTCAGATGGGGCTGCGGGTAAGAAGGGACATGGGGGCGGGGAGCGAGGGTGTCATCTACCTGATCCCCTTAGAGACAGTGGAGTTATCGATGGAGAATTCCGGTAAGGTGACGTTGATGTTGGGGTACGGAAAACAACGCCCCAGGGCTAGAAGAGAGAACAGGGGAGGGTGGGGGTGAGGGGGTCCTCACTCTCCCATCCCAGAGCACTGCCAGGAGAGGGCAGTGACGGTGGGCTCTGCTCTTGGGGGGTGTCGTAGCCTGTATTTCCTCTGCTGCTGGTGGGATGTCCTCACACCCATTACCTGGATTCCTGCAATACCTCCAGCCCTGACCTTGCTGTCCTGCTTAGGTCATGCCACAGCTCCCATCCTCAGCCCTCAGCAGGCTCTGTCACGCCCCTGATTTCTGTGAGCTCTCTACCCCCCCCCCCCCCCGCTGTCACAGCGGAGCCTCTAAGGAGCCTCCCTCAGAGGGTCCGCTCAGTCTCAGCTCAGTCCCTGCCCGTCTCCATCTCAGCATCTCCAGCTGGGCCTGTTCCGTCACTTCAGAACCATGAGTAGCCAAGCAGGTTTGGATTTATCACTTACATCCCGGTATTGAGGAAACGAGGCGCGGAGAGGCTGGGTAGCTGGCGGGAGGTCTGCGTGCTGGCAGGCGCTGGGGTTTAAATGCGCATCTGCCTGCTCTGGAGCAGCCCCTGGGTGCTTTCCTTACCCTACCTGCCTTGAAAATCGTCTCTTCTCACGCTATCATCTAAAGAGTATCTTCTGCTGGAGAATATGAAAACGATAAAGGCAGGTGGCATGCCGGATAGCCTATCTGCCATCTCGGCGCGGGGACATGCTAGGCAGGAAGGTCACGAGTCTGGAGCCAGCTGGGCTACAGAATGGGATTCTATCTTTAAATAAGGCAAACCGGTTACGGTAGGGGTCGGGAAGGAGTGTGAGCTGATGAACGGTGAATTGTGACTGGCCTGCCCAGCCACGCCCATCTGTGAGGTCAGACCCGTTCGTCCAGGCGCGTTTTATTTTAAAAGCCTGCATTTGGAGTTATCGACGTTTTATTTTTGAGGCAGCGTTCACTGTGTAGGCCCCTGTGGTTCACTGTGAACCAGGCTGGCCTTGAGCCCACAGAGATCCCCCCCCCCCGCCTCTGCCTCCTGAGAGCCGCGACTGAAGGCGTGTGCCACTGCGCCTGACGGTGACTGCCTTGCCGGCAGGTGCGTATGCGCACACGTGTGGCACTGTGGCTTGTGCCAGTGGTGGCCAGAGGAGGGAGGCAGAGCCCCTGCTCTGTGGGTGTGGGAACCCGCACGGGGGCAACAAGCGCCTCTCCAGCCCCGCCCTCTGGCCTCAAGGTTTTTTGTTTTCCTTCCGATCTTGCCGTGCTGAGGGCGGAGCCCGGGGCGTTATACAAGCTAGGTGTGTACCACTCAGCTCTTTACCAAAGAAAGCGCCGCGTGTGGACGTGTGCGGGCTGCACAGTGCCTGCGGTGGTTAGAGCACTGGTCTCCGGAGCACAGTACGTTCCCTCCTTCCACCCTGTGGCCTTGGGGGTGGAACTCAGGCGGTCAGACTAGGCGGCAAGCCCTTCACCGTCAGGCCGTCTCACCGGCCGTTTCCTTGTTGTTTTGGGATAGGATCTTGCTCTGCGTCCCCAGGCTGACCTTTCACAGCCATCCTCCTGCCTCAGCTTCCCTGTCAGCTGTAATTGCAGGCTTGTGCCATCTCGTTGGCCCAGTGCTCCTTTGACCTCTGGTAAACAGCTCTGATCTCTCCACGGAGACGCAGCTCGAGCAGGGCGCGGCTGCCGCCGTCCTGCACCTGTCCCCAGCACCTAGCACATAGCTGCACGCCAGGCAGCAATCGTCTGACTCTAGGGTCCTGAGGCGGGGACGAAGGCCTGCTGCTCACGTCTGAGCCCCCACTGGCATGCGGGGAGGCTTCTCTCCCTCAGGGCCTGCTCCCTTCATTTGAGAAATGAAAATACTGGCTGAGTCGATGTCTGAGCGGGTAGGGCAGTGCTCCTCACCTGGAGAAGAAGGAAGAAGGAAACCGGGGCAGAGCTCCTTCTGCAGGCTTTCCATCACGCCCTGGGGGTGCAGAACACACAGGCACAGATGCAGGGCAGAATCACAAGTACCATCACCTCCACCATCATCACCACCACCTCCCCAACCATCACCACACCTCCATTACCATCACCACACCTCCACCATCATCACCACCTCCACCATCACCACCACCACCATCACCACCACCTCCACCATCATCACCACCTCCACCATCATCACCATCACCACCAC